CGCGTCGCGGCCGGCGAACGCCCATTTGGCTGGTACCGCAACGCAACCGCGGACGCTAGCGATCGCTCGATTCGCAAAGTCTAACATCGGCCTTACTCTGCGAAAAGCTGGGATCACTGTGGCTGGGTGAACTATTCACTGATGACCCCCTTCCCTTTCCCTTTCATACTATACACTAACTATATAAGCGTCATCATTTATCGGGTTACATTTCAGGTGAACTGCCTCCGGTGAGTGGCCGATTTCGTTCCCGTCAGGGTTCATGGTTCGTTTTATTTCTCATGTCATATCGATCGTTGATGTCATCAGTCCGTCATTGACCAGTTTGATCTTCATATTTTGTGCAGTCGCGTCGTCGATGGGCATTCACTGCCACGGCCATCGGTCAGTTGACCGGTTTGCCAACCGGCAAAATGTTCATCCTATCCATGTTACGGGTTTTCTATTACGGTTTAAACTATTCATTCCTAATCGAATATTGCGTATCGATTGAGTGTTTCATCGAATATTGTCATGCACTATTAACATATTTAATATGTATTATAGATAGATTATTTTGAGTATTTTAAAAGTTAAAGATTAGTGAGTACTAGTAAGGTTGACGTGACGTCAGTGTGCGTATAGATATATTGATTGATTGAAGGTGACGAGGAGGAAGGGCTATGAAGAAAAGTTATTGATTTTTTGCCATAGGGTTCATGGAGTAACGAGATTAAGATTCTCATTCATCAGTTTCTATATCCACATAAATGCATAAGTATTGTAAGACGCTCGCAGACAATGTACTTTGTGATTATTGATTATTCTTCATTTTTTTGATCATCAATTCATCCATTCATCCGTTCATCATCGTCACCTTCAAAGAGATCGTTGTTTCTCATATTGTATATGCTTTATTTCGTTTCACGATTCTCCATGTCGAATCTATCTTTCCCAAACCCTCGTATCATTTGTGATATACAGAAGTTCACTGTGTGCAGCTTATTGCGGATAGTATTCGATCTGGGAATGAAAATTTATTCTCACATTTAAATTTGAGTTTATCGTTTCTCTTAAATGCCTTTTTTCAAAATTATCCCGAAACTCAACAGTCACTGATGTTGCGTTCAGAGTTGGCGACTGGGCTACCCAGCGGCTCAGCGCTTCGTAGGCTGAATGATCTAGCCTTATTCAGGATTCCGTTTGAGTTAGATATGTAGCAAATCTAAGGAAGTGATGGCTAAATTCAGTTCTTTATTCATAACGATAAGTCAGAATCGTTAGGTGCCCATTTTTAGCTTTCACCCTTCGGTGAGTCGATCGATAGCTATGCGTTTCGTTGTCGGCTATCCACAAGCTCATAATGCTGCCTCGAGAAGATGAGGTCGCTAGGCTTATGGTAGTCCGGATGTGATACGAAGGCCTTTTATGTGATGCGCTTTAATAAAAATTTTGTCCTGACGTAAGCCCCGTTCTGGGTTGAACTCATCCAAAGGATCAATGGTTTTAAGAACAGCAATCCAGATGGGGTCGTGTTGACAAATCTATTCTGTGGGTGGGATAGAGTACCGACGAGTATCACAAATGTGCCGTTGTCGCGGCTCGAAAGTGCGCGACAATGGCGCTAAAGCTTATAAAGTGGTCTGATGGCAACTAATGTGAGCTTATGGACGAGATTTCTTGTGCATGTCCCCTGATACGCAGTGTGGGTCACGACTTCTTCTTTTTCTTCTTCCTAGCGTTAGTCCCGTGCAGTCGCAGGGTCCGCTGGCAGTGTGGATCACGACGTAGCCGCTAACTGAAATACGCGCGAGTTGGTGAAGCCATGGAGCGAACAAGTTCAGACAACTGGCCTGCTCCTTCATTTCAAAGGGAAGAGAAGGAATACTTTGCTTTGTTTCTTTCTCATTATCGATCAACTCAGCATTCACAATTTCATTATGGACCGCTGTTACCCTACCAATTTGACCTGGGGTTGTTGCTTTGATGTTTTCAACTGCCAACGGTTCTTACGGTGATTGACGAGAAGAGATTTGGTCTCGAAGGGGGGGGGGGCTAATCCTGCGACACTTCCAATTTTTTGATTTTAAATTTTTCAATTTTTGATTTTAATTTTATCTTTTTTTTACAACTCCTGACCGGTCTTATATCTACCATGAGTGTCCACCACTTGTCTTCAACGCTCAGAAAATTTCTTGATGCTCCTTTGCCAAAACCCAGCGGAGTGCGGGTCGAGAAAGGAGGCGACCTCACTTTCGAGTTGGAGTTGATCGTCTAATTATTTCGTCATCAAGATGATGATTTAAGGTCCAGGATAGGTGGCAGTCATTTATAGCTCGACCAGGGGATTACGCTAAGAGAGGTAAGAAAATCTTGCCGCAACTCCAGAATTTCTTACCGGGCTCATTTCGGATCATGGTGATTCGCAATGTATCTTCGAGGATGAATCTTGACGAGCTACCTCGGCCAGCTCTGGTATTCCACAGCCTAGGCCTCTACCTTACACACATGCCTATAATGGAGGATATGTAGTAGGAGCCTCTGTAAGAGCCCTACCTGTAATAGAGTGTAGGGACGCTGCGTGCTTCTTATAAAAATATCAAAAGATCGGAAGCGCTGGTAAAGGTGAAACACGCTGTAGCGGTGAATGACATGGCTGTTGTAACTA